TGGCACCCTCCCTTGTCTGATCTTTTAGAGATACCAGACTGACCTTGGCACCCACCCTTGTCTGAGCTTTTAGATATACCAGTGGGATCTCGGCATCCATCCTTGTCTGAGCTTTTAGATATACCAGAGGGATCTTGGCACCCTCCCTTGTCTGATCTTTTAGAGATACCAGAAAGATCTTGGCACCCACCCTTGTTTGATCTTTTAGAGATTCCAGAAGGATCTTGGCACCCACCCTTGTTTGATATTTTAGATATACCAAACAGACCTTGGCACCCACCCTTGTTTGATCTTATAGATAGACCAGACAGAACTTGGCACCCACCCTTGTTTGATCTTATAGATAGACCAGACAGAACTTGGCACCCACCCTTGTTTGATCTTATAGATAGACCAGACAGAACTTGGCACCCACCCTTGTTTGATCTTTTAGAGATACCAGAAAGATCTTGGCACCCTCCCTTGTCTGATCTTTTAGAGATACCAGAGGGATCTTGGCACCCACCCTTGTTTGATCTTTTAGATATACCAGACAGAACTTGGCACCCACCCTTGTTTGATCTTTTAGATATACCAGACAGACCTTGGCACCCACCCTTGTCTGATCTTTTAGAGATACCAGACTGACCTTGGCACCCACCCTTGTCTGGTCTTTTAGATATATCAGAAGGACTTTCGCATCCACCCTTGTTTGATATTTTAGAGATTCCAGGAGGATCTTGGCACCCACCTTTGTTTGATCTGTTAGATATACCAGAGGAATCTTGGCACCAATCCTTGTCTGAGCTTTTATATATACCAGAGGGATCTTGGCACCCATCCTTGTCTGAGCTTTTAGATATACCAGAGGGATCTTGGCACCCTCCCTTGTCTGATCTTTTAGAGATACCAGTGGGATCTTGGCACCCATCCTTGTCTGAGCTTTGAGATATACCAGACAGACCTTGGCACCCATCCTTGTCTGAGCTTTTAGATATACCAGTGGGATCTTGGCACCCATCCTTGTCTGAGCTTTTAGATATACCAGAGGGATCTTGGCACCCATCCTTGTCTGAGCTTTTAGATATACCAGACAGACCTTGGCACCCATCCTTGTCTGAGCTTTTAGATATACCAGACAGACCTTGGCACCCATCCTTGTCTGAGCTTTTAGATATACCAGAGGGATCTTGGCACCCATCCTTGTCTGAGCTTTTAGATATACCAGAGGGATCTTGGCACCCATCCTTGTCTGAGCTTTTAGATATACCAGAGGGATCTTGGCACCCATCCTTGTCTGAGCTTTTAGATATACCAGACAGACCTTGGCACCCATCCTTGTCTGAGCTTTTAGATATACCAGTGGGATCTCGGCATCCATCCTTGTCTGAGCTTTTAGATATACCAGAGGGATCTTGGCACCCATCCTTGTCTGATCTTTATTTGTTTTCTTTCTTTCCGCTTCTTTTCTCTATTGTTTCTTTTTATCATACAATTTTTTTTTAATTTCTCTGAAGAAATAGTTTCTTACTCTCAAATCCAAGATGGTCACCTGCTTGCTGTTTTGATTTTCATGATCAACCCGACATCCCCTGTTCCCATCCCTTTCCCCCACATCAAAAAAGAACTAGGGACCTATATATGAAATCAGAGAAAGATCCATAAGGAACTTCAGGAGAAGTAGGAATAAAAATCTGCCACAGTCAAAAACCAAGATGATTGCATGTCTGATCAGTCCAAAAATAGCAAGGGCACAACAAGGGCACAACAAGAGACCAAAAAGAATGTACAGTGATGGGACTGGTCAGTTTATCGGGATGTCTAGATTATACAGGGACTGGTCAGTTTATGGGGGTGTCTAGATTGTACAGGGACTGGATTAGACAGATTCAACATGATCTGTTGTAACAGTGATGGGACTGGCCAGTTTATGGGGGTGTCTAGATTACACAGGGACTGGTCAGTTTATGGGGGTGTAACAGTGATGGGACTGGTCAGTTTACGGGGGTGTCTAGATTGTACAGGGACTGGATTAGACAGATTCAACATGATCTGTTGTAACAGTGATGGGACTGGCCAGTTTATGGGGGTGTCTAGATTACACAGGGACTGGTCAGTTTATGGGGGTGTAACAGTGATGGGACTGGTCAGTTTACGGGGGTGTCTAGATTGTACAGGGACTGGATTAGACAGATTAAACATGATCTGTTGTAACAGTGATGGGACTGGTCAGTTTATGGGGGTGTCTAGATTACACAGGGACTGGTCAGTTTATGGGGGTGTAACAGTGATGGGACTGGTCAGTTTACGGGGTTGTCTAGATTGTACAGGGACTGGATTAGACAGATTAAACATGATCTGTTGTAACAGTGATGGGACTGGTCAGTTTATGGGGGTGTCTAGATTACACAGGGACTGAATTAGACAGATTAAACATGATCTGCTGTAACAGTGATGGGACTGGTCAGTTTATGGGGGTGTCTTGATTACACAGGGACTGGTCAGTTTATGGGGGTGTAACAGTGATGGGACTGGTCAGTTTATGGGGGTGTCTAGATTGTACAGGGACTGGATTAGACAGATTAAAACTTATGAATCCATGAATCAGCTGGAAAGATAGAAAAGTCATTGGTGCTTAAAGCTTGACATGTAACAGCAATACTTGCTATCATACAGAGCAGTGACACACATGATCACTGCATCACAGCCAGACGCAGTCCATCCTTTCTCTAGATAGTGTATCCTCAAAGAAATCAGAGATCTTACAAATTTTTCATGACGTGAACTTCTTATGTATTTTTACAATGTAATCCAAGTGTCAGTGTATCATTAAGCATTTTCATAGTTCAGACTATGATTGTCGATCATCACTTGTACATCTACTATAAAGTCTTCAACAAACCACAGTCAAATTGGGCACAGTAAATTGTCACTATATTGTGTAATTTTTCTATAATCTTTTCCCCATTTCATCACACTATTTTCTCACTTAGTGTACATAGAATTATAGTACAGGCAAAATTAGTAGATTTCTTACCATTTTGTATACACTACATATGTGAGTGATACAACACTTCACACTGATCATTTGTCTGCCAAAGGTGACAGTGTTGTTGTCAAAATGTCACACCTTCAGCTTCTACTGGTTGTGTTATAAGAATTTTTATTCTACTATCATTGTAATTGTTTGTGTTGTATGCTGAGCCCTCAAGGTGTTCCTGTCATATTGTCATCTGATAGTGAGTTTTCTCTCTTAATCTCAATTTAATCAAAAGCAAAATATAAACAAGAGGTCAATATCCCTAAACACTTATCTCACTGATCTCAACTGAACTTATACTGCAAAGTGGCACAGCTATGTAAGTGGCATTCAAATCAGTCCCCTTATTAATCTCATACAAGATATTATGGATATTAAGCTGCAACCCACGTTTCATCCAATTCAGTTCATATGTACTCCGGTTATTGTGTGCACAAGGTCCGATGGAAATGAAAGTGTAAAGGCCCATAGACCCTACAACTGAATTAGCCCCATTGTCAAAGTCAGGAAAGCTTATTGATATAAGGCTGTATACAGAGTCTAATCAAAATCTGTATGTATTGTCCAAATTATCATAATTACAGGGTCGGATAAAAAAAAATGCAAAGGGGCATTACTCTGTTAACACTCATACATTCCTGAATTAGAGAATTGGGAATAAAAAATGTTACATTTTATAACACCATTTTTGTTGGTTGTTCTCAAATTCAAGAATGAAAGCATACATAAGAATACTCACGATACCAGCACCTGATATGGTAATCAGTTTTCTTAAAACATTAAAGACTTTAACACTGATCTAAACTTCTGTTCTATAGAGGTAATCACAAATCTAATCTACAAATATCAAATGTCAGATCCTGGAAACATAATCTTTCTGTTTATTGAAGCATGGCTAATAATGCAAATTTAGGTGTAAGGTGCTAGACTGATAATTCTCAAAAAATAAAAAAAACAAAAGAGAAAGAAAAGAAAAAACAAGGACCAATTCATCCTGTCACAGAACCAATTTGTGTATTAATATGTTTCATCAGGAGCTGCCAGCAGATGTTCCAGAGCTGACATGAAACTCCTTCAACCTCATTACTTTATTGTTTAAAATAACTGTCATTTTCCTTATCTACCCAACCTATTCATTATCACACTTATTTTTCCTTTCTTAATCTATTTCTTTCCTTTTTTTTTGAAGAAAAGTGATAATTATTGGAACTGAGAGCAAGAATGTCATTTGTAATATGTTTTCATGTATTTTGGCATTGAAAGTGAGGACATCATTAAGATAGTATTTTTATGCATATTTTTTTTCTTTTTTTTTTCTTTATGGATGTTCTGGAATTATAATTACACTGACAAGATGACAAGATTTTTTTTTATAGTAACACATTTTTCAGGTGGGGAGATTCATGTTGCCATACAGCATGAAATGAATTAATTTGTAAGAAAATGATAACCAGAAAAATATATACATGTACACGTTAAAAGTCAAAAGAACTTTTAATACCTAGACATATTGTTATATACATAGTGATGCTGACAACATGACACTTTCAGTAAAAAGTCTGTAGAATTTGTAGGCTGGATTTACAATTCTTAACATAACATGATGACTTTAGATAGAGCTCAACTGCAGACATCGTCCTGATAGGCAAAAACATCATTACAAACAGTATAATATGCATTCAATATCCTGGCTAGATTTCTAAACCCTATATTTCTAAAACTGATTCGCAATCAATTCAATAAGTTATAAAACAATAAACATCATATTTTTTTTGCACTTTTCCATATTTTGTTTACTTCCTTCAAATTCAATTCATGGAGACTGTTGTGCTCTCTGATTGAATAGTGAATGATCTTTAGTGACAGCAGTGCCTGCATCCATTCTACAAACCAAGTCTGAACGCTTACAACTGTCTACAATCACACTGACAAGACATGATGGTCTTGACAATTTTTGTACGGAAACTTATTACTTTCTTACCTGTGAGTCTCTGGGGATTCCAATTTGGCCCGGGACGATGCTGTTGGTTTACGGTATCCAGGGATACGTGACCTACGTGACCTTTTGCCCTTACGACCTCTGCTTGTTTGATCTTGTTGAGAGTTTCCTGATCCTGCATCATCACTTTCATCAGTCTGGACGATGTCTGATTAAATTATGAGAACACATAAGACTTCAGGACACATTCTGATACTGTTCCCGCTAATGTTTTATTTATACTTTATACAACTTTTAGAAAAACATGTGTAACCAGTAGGTGAAGCAGAAACAGCAAAGTGACAACTTGAAGGAATCACTGTCCTGGAGACAGTGTTGATGAGGGTACAACCCACCAAACCAGTTACACTGAGGTGACAACTTGAAGGAATCATTGTCCTACACACAGTGTTGATGAGGGTACAACCCACCAAACCAGTTACACTGAGGTGACAATTTGAAGGAATCATTGTCCTGGAGACAGTGTTGATGAGGGTACAACCCACCAAACCAGTTACACTGAGGTGACAACTTGAAGGAATCATTGTCCTACACACAGTGTTGATGAGGGTACAACCCACCAAACCAGTTACACTGAGGTGACAACTTAAAGGAATCACTGTCCTGGAGACGGTGTTGATGAGGGTACAACCCACCAAACCAGTTACACTGAGGTGACAACTTGAAGGAATCATTGTCCTGGAGACAGTGTTGATGAGGGTACAACCCACCAAACCAGTTACACTGAGGTGACAATTTGAAGGAATCATTGTCCTGGAGACAGTGTTGATGAGGGTACAACCCACCAAACCAGTTACACTGAGGTGACAACTTGAAGGAATCATTGTCCTACACACAGTGTTGATGAGGGTACAACCCACCAAACCAGTTACACTGAGGTGACAACTTAAAGGAATCACTGTCCTGGAGACGGTGTTGATGAGGGTACAACCCACCAAACCAGTTACACTGAGGTGACAACTTGAAGGAATCATTGTCCTGGAGACAGTGTTGATGAGGGTACAACCCACCAAACCAGTTACACTGAGGTGACAACTTGAAGGAATCATTGTCCTGGAGACAGTGTTGATGAGGGTACAACCCACCAAACCAGTTACACTGAGGTGACAACTTGAAGGAATCATTGTCCTACACACAGTGTTGATGAGGGTACAACCCACCAAACCAGTTACACTGAGGTGACAACTTGAAGGAATCATTGTCCTACACACAGTGTTGATGAGGATACAACCCACCAAACCAGTTACACTGAGGTGACAACTTAAAGGAATCACTGTCCTGGAGACGGTGTTGATGAGGGTACAACCCACCAAACCAGTTACACTGAGGTGACAACTTGAAGGAATCATTGTCCTGGAGACAGTGTTGATGAGGGTACAACCCACCAAACCAGTTACACTGAGGTGACAACTTGAAGGAATCATTGTCCTACACACAGTGTTGATGAGGATACAACCCACCAAACCAGTTACACTGAGGTGACAACTTAAAGGAATCACTGTCCTGGAGACGGTGTTGATGAGGGTACAACATACCAAACCAGTTACACTGAGGTGACAACTTGAAGGAATCATTGTCCTACACACAGTGTTGATGAGGGTACACCCCACCAAACCAGTAACACTGAGGCGACAACTTGAAGGAATCATTGTCCTGGAGACAGTGTTGATGAGGGTACAACCCACCAAACCAGTTACACTGAGGTGACAACTTGAAGGAATCATTGTCCTACACACAGTGTTGATGAGGGTACAACCCACCAAACCAGTTACACTGAGGAAATCTCATGCATACTTTGGCCAAATACCTGGTACATATATATGTATATAGGAAAGCTAGATGAGAATGATGATTTATATCAACAAATAACACTGTGTTCTGATAAGAGTAACTTAAATAAAATCTGCTACAATATACTGATTACATTGATATATTCACTACCTCCCAGCATGGCCACAATCTAAATAATTCTCTATAGAAACTGAACCAATTAAACAATTATGCTTTGTTAGATAATTAAATGGACAGAAGTTCTCATATATACCAAATTTGTCAAAATTTCTTTGTTTTCATATTTTCTTTCAATAAAACAAATACTTTCACACTGAATTGGTGAATTTAGGAAAAGAAAATGTTAGAAAAGACATGAATACCCCTTCCCCTATTCCCATACATGTGTGACCCTTTTAACCCTTCCACCAGGACATGACATAACAGAAATTCAATCATAGTTGACCTGATAGGACATTGAAAACATAAATACCTTCTGACAGTTTTTGTTACCAAAGCTGAGTCTTGTTCAAATCTAGCAAGAACACTGAATGAAGACAGAAGATAGCCTGTTTTGTCTCCAGACTACAATAGGGACAGACATTAGAAACCCTAATTTGATTCTGGGATGGAGCTCTAAGCGACAAACAAGATTTTCACACTAATGTTTGGTCATTACCAGTGTAAGGAGCAAGCAACACTGACCACAAGCTGTCAACTAGAGTCAGCTGGTCAAGCTCAAACTCAGCTTTGAGATTACATTTTTATATTGCTATACCATATAATCCCAGCTGGTTAACGGAATATGATAGCATGGTTAACTGCATATAATTGCACTGGTTAATTAGAAATTATGATATCACTAACTAGATTTGATCATCTAACAACTGAATAAGATAATATGACTAACAGAATAAAAGAACAAAGCCAACTGGAAGGGATAATGTGACTAACTAGATATGATAACATGACTAACTGGATAAGATAATATGACTAACTAGATATGATAACATCACTAACTAGATATGATAACATGACTAACTAGATAAGATAATATGAGTAATTGCCTATGATATGAATAATTAGATATGATAATATGATATGACTAACTAGATATGATAACATGACTAACTAGATATGATAACATGACTAACTGGATAAGATAATATGACTAACTGGATAAGATAATATGAGTAATTGCCTATGATATGAATAATTAGATATGATAATATGATATGACTAACTAGATATGATAACATCACTAATTAGATATGATAATATGACTAATTGCCTATGATATGAATAATTAGATATGATAATATGATATGACTAACTAGATATGATAACATCACTAACTAGATATGATAATATGACTAATTGCCTATGATATGAATAATTAGATATGATAATATGATATGACTAACTAGATATGATAACATGACTAACTAGATATGATAATATGATATGACTAACAAGATATGATATGACTAACAAGATATGATATGACTAACTAGATATGATACGATATGATTAACTAGATATGGTAATATGAATAATTGCATATGATATGACTAACTAGATATATATGACTCACTGAATAACATAATATGACAAACTGGATATAGCTAATTGGATTCGATGTGACTACCTGATGTGATGATGTGACTAATTGATATGAAAATATGACTAACTAAATATAAAAAAATAAAATGTTCACCTAAATCAAGACAATATTAACTCAAATCACACATGAAGATTGAGACATATTTAACAATGTTGAATATTACCTGAAAGATTTAGTTTGCTACCAGCAAATTCATCTTAATTTGACTCTGACACACAAAGTTTGGTTACAATCATCCTTGTTTTTGTTTACACTTGCGACTAGATTCTCCTCAGTCACCTTTGATCAGTATCACTGTCACAGCTGTAAGTATCAAGAACTCAACACTTACCTCTTTCAGCCACAAGTCTGGTGATAGCATCAGAAGAACTCGTTTGTCCATCTGATACAGTCTGCAAATATATGTAATCATTTTTTAAGATATTTTTGTTGAAGAAAGTGACAATAGATTTTTAAATCCTTGATAAAAAAAATTCAAAATGTGACATTTTTAAATTTAACATCAAATTTGTTTTGGTCATTTTAGAGTTTGTTGGTAAATAGAAGAATATCTCTGCTCAAAATGTTCTTTTTGAAGAATTATTAACTAAGATTGTAACCATGTAGCTATAAATAGGCAGTTTTACACAATAGTTATTCTATACTGCTTAACACAGTAAACTGAAAAAAATGTAAAAACAAAGAAATCACAAAAATTCTGAGAATTTCCTAGTTTGGACTAATTTTGAAATTGAAAGATAAAATTTTACAACAATATTGAAATATGTCTGACATGAGGTCAAGTCCTCTGTTACACAACTCACTATGATTTATTTTGATAATCTGGAAAATCAAAAATTACGTAAAAACCTTAAATCATAAAAATCAATGAAATCACAATGTCATGTTTTCAGTTTCTATCAATGACTGACAATCTGACTTCTAATTACATAGATTTAGGGGCGATTTTATTATAAGAGAAAAAAAAATTACACTGACCTTTGACCTAGATGGCTGCAACAGGTTCGCGATCTGTTGTTCCAAGATCATCAGACGTCGATTTTGTTCAGACATGACGCTTGTGTTCTATAAATAAAGATGAAATTTTTTGAAAACAATATTTCCTTCTACATACAATGCGTGATCTATTTTCTTGTGAGAACAAGGATGCCATCAACTTTTACATAACTTCATAATTAGTCTCATATCAATTTTGCCATTAAAATATACAAAAAAGTATATCAATTTGTTCACTGCAATGACGATGTAAGAAACATATCATCATTCTTTTTAGAAATGATGTAACTTTTCCAGTGATGATATAACTTTTCCAGTGATGATATACTTTTCAAAGGATGATGAATCTTCCGGAGATGATATGACTTTTCCAAAGATGACACATTTTCCAAAGATGATATAACTTTACAATAGATTACATCACTATATCAGCATTAGTACAAGTTTTCAAGAGATGATATCACTTTACCAGGTACAATTTTACCAGTGATGGTATAAATTTTCCTGAGATGATGTAACTCTATGTTTTGACCAATCAGAATGGATATCACTACATCGAAATTCTTCATAGTTTTAAACACTGTTCTTAGCAGGGAGCAAACAGTATTTAAATGTAAAAATATCAACATTTTATTGACATTCTCTCTTTACATATGACATATAAGATTTACAAGAAGATAAAGTCAAATATCCTCATTGTATTATCTGTTTCACACAGAAAGTTTCCTCATTGTATTATCTGTTTCACACAGAAAGTTTCCTCATTGTATTATCTGTTTCACACAGAAAGTTTCCTCGTTGTATTATCTGTTTCACACAGAAAGTTTCCTCGTTGTATTATCTGTTTCACACAGAAAGTTTCCTCGTTGTATTATCTGTTTCACACAGAAAGTTTCCTCGTTGTATTATCTGTTTCACACAGAAAGTTTCCTCGTTGTATTATCTGTTTCACACAGAAAGTTTCCTCGTTGTATTATCTGTTTCACACAGAAAGTTTCCTCGTTGTATTATCTGTTTCACACAGAAAGTTTCCTCGTTGTATTATCTGTTTCACACAGAAAGTTTCCTCGTTGTATTATCTGTTTCACACAGAAAGTTTCCTCGTTGTATTATCTGTTTCACACAGAAAGTTTCCTCGTTGTATTATCTGTTTCACACAGAAAGTTTCCTCGTTGTATTATCTGTTTCACACAGAAAGTTTCCTCGTTGTATTATCTGTTTCACACAGAAAGTTTCCTCGTTGTATTATCTGTTTCACACAGAAAGTTTGAAGTTTTATTGTCTGAGAAAGTAATATGAGTTTGATACTAATCATTTATGATAATCTACACTGGTTAATGAAATGGACTCCTTTCAATGACATAAAGTAATAACTGGACTCCTTCCCATGACAAAGCAATAACTGGACTCTTTTCAATGACAAGGGCAATAACTGGACTCCTGTCCATGACATAAAGCAATAACTGGACTCCTTTCAATGAGAAAGCAATAACTGGACTCTTTTTAATGACAAGGGCGATAACTGGACTCCTTTCCATGACATAAAGCAATAACTGGACTCCTTTCCAGGACATAAAGCAATAACTGGACTCCTTTCCAGGACATAAAGCAATAAATGGACTGACTCCTTTCCAGGACATAAAGCAATAAATGGACTCCTTCCCATGACAAAGCAATAACTGGACTCCTTTCCAGGGCATAAAGCAATAAATGGACTCCTTTCCATGACATAAAGCAATAACTGGACTCCTTTCCAGGACATAAAGCAATAAATGGACTCCTTTCCAGGACATAAAGCAATAACTGGACTCCTTTCCAGGACATAAAGCAATAACTGGACTCCTTTCCAGGACATAAAGCAATAAATGGACTGACTCCTTTCCAGGACATAAAGAAATAAATTGACTGAATCCTTAACAGGACATAAAGCAATAAATGGACTGACTCCTTTCCAGGACATAAAGCAATAAATGGACTGACTCCTTTCCAGGACATAAAGCAATAAATGGACTGACTCCTTTCCAGGACATAAAGCAATAAATGGACTGACTCCTTTCCAGGACATAAAGCAATAAATGGACTGACTCCTTTCCAGGACATAAAGCAATAAATGGACTGACTCCTTTCCAGGACATAAAGCAATAAATGGACTGACTCCTTTCCAGGACATAAAGCAATAACTGGACTCCTTTCCAGGACATAAAGCAATAAATGGACTGACTCCTTTCCAGGACATAAAGCAATAACTGGACTCCTTTCCATGACATAAAGCAATAAATGGACTGACTCCTTTCCATGACATAAAGCAATAACTGGACTCCTTTCCAGGACATAAAGCAATAAATGGACTGACTCCTTTCCAGGACATAAAGCAATAAATGGACTGACTCCTTTCCAGGACATAAAGCAATAAATGGACTCCTTTCCATGACATAAAGCAATAAATGGACTGACTCCTTTCCATGACATTAACTGGACATGACATAAAGCAAAGCAATAAATGGACTCTCCTTTCCAGGACATAAAGCAATAACTGGTCTCCTTTCCAGGACATAAAGCAATAACTGGACTCCTTTCCAGGACATAAAGCAATAAATGGACTGGACTCCTTTCCAGGACATAAAGCAATAACTGGACTCCTTTTCCATGACATAAAGCAATAAATGCAATAAACTGGACTCCTTTCCAGGACATAAAGCAATAACTGGACTCCTTTCCAGGACATAAAGCAATAACTGGACTGACTCCTTTCCAGGACATAAAGCAATAAATGGACTGACTCCTTTCCAGGACATAAAGCAATAAATGGACTGACTCCTTTCCAGGACATAAAGCAATAAATGGACTCCTTTCAATGACATAAAGCAATAACTGGACTCCTTTCCATGACAGAGCAATAACTGGACTCTTTTCAATGACATAAAGCAATAACTGGACTCCTTTCCAGGACATAAAGCAATAACTGGACTCCTTTCCAGGACATAAAGCAATAAATGGACTCCTTTCCAGGACATAAAGCAATAAATGGACTCCTTTCCATGACATAAAGCAATAACTGGACTCCTTTCCATGACATAAAGCAATAACTGGACTCCTTTCCATGACAAGGGCAATAACTGGACTCTTTTCAATGACAAGGGCAATAACTGGACTCCTTTCCAGGACATAAAGCAATAACTGGACTCCTTTCCAGGACATAAAGCAATAAATGGACTCCTTTCCATGACATAAAGCAATAACTGGACTGACTCCTTTCCAGGACATAAAGCAATAAATGGACTGACTCCTTTCCAGGACATAAAGCAATAAATGGACTCCTTTCCAGGACATAAAGCAATAAATGGACTGACTCCTTTCCAGGACATAAAGCAATAAATGGACTCCTTTCCAGGACATAAAGCAATAACTGGACTCCTTTCCAGGACATAAAGCAATAACTGGACTCCTTTCCAGGACATAAAGCAATAACTGGACTCCTTCCCATGACAAAGCAATAACTGGACTCTTTTCCAGGACATAAAGCAATAAATGGACTCCTTTCCAGGACATAAAGCAATAACTGGACTCCTTTCCATGACATAAAGCAATAAATGGACTCCTTTCCATGACATAAAGCAATAAATGGACTCCTTTCCAGGACATAAAGCAATAACTGGACTCCTTTCCATGACAAAGCAATAACTGGACTCTTTTCAATGACAAGGGCAATAACTGGACTCCACTTACAAGGGCAATAACTGGACTCCTTTCCAGGACATAAAGCAATAACTGGACTCCTTTCCAGGACATAAAGCAATAAATGGACTGACTCCTTTCCAGGACATAAAGCAATAACTGGACTCCTTTCCATGACATAAAGCAATAAATGGACTCCTGTCCATGACATAAAGCAATAACTGGACTCCTTTCCATGACAAAGCAATAACTGGACTCTTTTCAATGACAAGGGCAATAACTGGACTCCTTTCCATGACATAAAGCAATAACTGGACTCTATTCAATGACAAGGGCAATAACTGGACTCCTTTCCATGACATAAAGCAATAACTAGACTCCTTTCCAGGACATAAAGCAATAAATGGACTCCTTTCCAGGACATAAAGCAAGTCTGTGACATTAAGCAATAGTTTACAAAGGATTCCTGTCCATGACATTAAGCAATAGTTTACAAAGGATTCCTGTCTGTGACATTAAGCAATAGTTTACAAAGGATTCCTGTCCATGACATTAAGCAATAGTTTACAAAGGATTCCTATCTGTGACATTAAGCAATAGTTTACAAAGGATTCCTGTCCATGACATTAAGCAATAGTTTACAAAGGATTCCTGTCTGTGACATTAAGCAATAGTTTACAAAGGATTCCTGTCCATGACATTAAGCAATAGTTTACAAAGGATTCCTGTCCATGACATTAAGCAATATTTTACAAAGGATTCCTGTCTGTGACATTAAGCAATAGTTTACAAAGGATTCCTGTCCATGACATTAAGCAATAGTTTACAAAGGATTCCTGTCTGTGACATTAAGCAATAGTTTACAAAGGATTCCTGTCCATGACATTAAGCAATAGTTTACAAAGGATTCCTGTCCATGACATTAAGCAATATTTTACAAAGGATTCCTGTATGTGACATTAAGCAATAGTTTACAATAACAATTTTTTCTTTTCTGAACACCATTTCTTCCATGATCGTTCAGTTGAATGTAACAAGAAGTAAATATAATAAAAACATATGTACTAGTGTAACTTTAGTTTCAATTATGATTGACAAGTCTTTTCCAAGAATTATAATTGAAAATACTTTCATTTAAAAAATAATTTTATTTTGTAGCCACTCAATCTAGACTTAAAACCTAGGACAGGAATTATATACTACTTTTTCTACAATTCAGTTGCCTAAGTGTGCGAAGGGAGCTAATTCAATTTCAAAAATTCCTTTTCTGTTTATTTGAAGAAAATCCTGAACCAATTCACCTCACCTCACCCAGAAGTTAATATTTTATATCTATATTTATTTGTTGGTGACCCACATTCTTTTTTTGTTAGTTGTTCCAATTTTCAAGTGAAAACTAAAAATTTCAGAACAATGTACCGAAATATTAAAAACAGGTGTGTTGTATGATAAAAATGATTTCTAATGCTGTCTAATAAAAATATTAAGGAACATTAACTTATATCATTAGATGTTGGATACCCAAAGTGATTTCTAATGCTGTCTTATAAAAACATTAATGACCTTTAACCTATATTATTAGATGCTGGGTACCCGAAGAGATTTCTAATGCTGTCTAATAAAAACATTAATAACCTTTAACCTATATTATTAGATGCTCGGTATCCCAAGTGATTTCTAATACTGTCTTAAAAAAACTTAAATGGCCTTTAACCTTTATCATTAGACGTTGGGTATCCCTATTTCTTCCAGGCCAATCTCATCCAGGACCACACTAGTGATAAGTACAATTGTACAATATCATATATGTATATGTTTATATTCAGCTAATCTACTAACCTGTTTGTCTGTACTCTTGTCCAGTTCGGACTCTGACACCAGTGCATTACTGGTGTCTGAGCTAGACTGTATTGCCTTCCGTTTAAAGAGTTCTAAGGCTTTGTCAATCTTGGGTGTCGCCAGGTCCAAGGCCTTTCCTTCCTACAAAGGACAACTTTCTGTACAATCTCCTCCTCTCAACAGGTACAGTCTCATCTCTTCATCCTGTATTGTCTAAACCTCTCATCCTGTAGTCCCATCCTCTCATCATGTACAGTCTCATCTTGTCATCCTGTACAGACCCATCCTCTCATCATGTACAGTCTCATCCCCCCAACATGTACATTCTCATCATCTCATCATGTATAGTCTGATCCTCCAACCTGTACATTCTCATCTTCTCATTCTTTACAGTCTCATCCCCACAACCTGTACTGTTTAAACCTCTCATCCTGTAGTCCTATCCTCTCATCATGTACAGTCTCATCTTGTCATCCTGTAGAGTCCCATCCTCTCATCATGTACAGTCTCATTCCCCTGCCCCCACCCCCCACCCCCCAACATGTACATTCTCATCATCTCATCATGTACAGTCTCATCTCTTCAGCCTGTACTGTCTAAACCTCTCATCATGTAGTCCTATCTTCTCATCATGTACAGTCTCATCCCCCCAACATGTAAATTCTCTTCATCTCATCATGTAGTCCTATCCTCTCATCATGTACAGTCTCATCTTCTCATCCTGTACAGTCTCATCCCCTTAACCTGTACAGTCTCATCCTCCCAACCTGTACAGTCTCATCTTCTCATTCTGTACAGTCTCATCCTCCAACCTGTACATTCTCATCTTCTCATCATATACAGTCTCATCCTCTCATCATGTACAGTATCATCCCCCCAACATGTAAATTCTCATCATCTCATCATGTAGTCCTATCCTCTCATCATGTACAGTCTCATCCTCCAACCTGTACATTCTCATCTTCTCATCCTGTACAGTCTCATCCTTCAACCTGTACAGTCTCATCCCCTTAACCTGTACAGTCTCATCCTCCCAACCTATACATTCTCATCTTCTCATCATGTACAGTCTCATCCCCTTAACCTGTACAGTCTCATCCTCCCAACCTGTACAGTCTCATCTTCTCATCCTGTACAGTCTCATCTTCTCATCCTGTACAGTCTCATCCTCCAACCTGTACAGTCTCATCCCCTTAACCTGTACAGTCTCATCCTCCCAACCTGTACAGTCTCATCTTCTCATTCTGTACAGTCTCATATCCATATCCTTTACAGACTCATCCTTTCATCTTGTACTGTCTCATCCTCTCACCCTATAGTCTCATCCTCTCACCCTGTACAGTCTATACCTCTCATCCTTTACAGTAAAATCCTCTCAAACATAATGTTGGCTTTCTCTCAAGTTTTTATTTTGTTACTTTTACAATTAAGCATTACAAATTAAAGTGTCATTACTAGAATCCCAGTGTGTATCTATTATTACCTAAGTAACAGAATGTTTCCCTTCATTTATGGTCCTTTAATTTACAGTCAGAAAAAGAGAATTGCATATGTATGTGGAGACAATGGCTTTGCAAGACAGCATAATTCCAGGTCATAAATTTAATGGCAGAAAAACAGACTAAGAGTGAAAGGTCCAAAACTTACCACCATTGAGTTGGAGGAAGATTCTGTGTTAGATAGGAGGTAGTCCATGTAATCTTCTAGGCCTGAATAAAAAAAAATTAACATTGTATTTCATAATTAGATATCTTACCACAGTAATTATATAATGACACCCCCCTCTCTCTCCTTCTGATCTTCACAGTAGAAAAATGTTCTGATGTTGATATATCAGCAGAGTTGTTAGACAACAGAATAACTTGCCTCTTACATATTTCATAGCATCTCAACAGGTATATCTAACTATGCTTTAGCCAATACTAGACTTCCATATTCTTGTCAAAGTAATTATCACAAGCTAAAACCATTAACTGATTCCAAGATAAAAAATGGGAAAATAAGCTAATCAATTGATAATAACCAGACCCATAACTGAATCAAACAGAGTGAATCATAATGCCTTGTTCCCTGCTAAAACTATATGAGTTACTGATTTCCTTACTGGCCTGTTTAAACATATGTCCAGTCACAGAGTTACGTCCCTTTATAACATGATGATCATTAATGTATCAGTAACTATTTGGATGTTTATAATGTTTGATAAAAATTCAATTTAATGTATAAACACATCATAAACATCTTTTTGCACAGGAAAGTTTGTGATCATTTTTAGAGAGAAAAAGTGATTGCATAAATGACTGTCTCAACTGAGTCAAAAAACCTGGACACCACACAGCCATGTGTCACGTGGGTCCTCTAAATCAGGACAATTACAAGTGCAGGTTTGTACCTCCTTTGTATAGAATACCCCAGTGTCTGGGTTGGAAGGGCTTGTCATGGCCCCCAATTAACAAACAAATCACTGGAACTGTAAATTATTGGTGAATCATAATTTGTTTCACTTTTGCAGGTGAACAATGGAGATCTTTCGAAAAAGCAGGTTTAGCTCCAGTCATTGTCTTCAAATATATTTACCAATTTTTCTCAAATGGAGTTATGTTGTTCCAACCATATACAGTTTATATGCAAAAATTGCCGCATTGAAATTTTCCTCAGTACCCAGAAAAATCACTGCACATATACTTAAAATAAAAATTGTTCAAACAAGAAAGCTTCATAACATATAATTACAGCTATTCTACAAAACAAAACTTTGGTTAATATATGTATAATCAAAGATATAATTAGAGCTATTCTACAAAACAAAACTTTGGTTAATATATGTATAATCAAAGATATAATTAGAGCTATTCTACAAACCAAAACTTTGGTTAAATATATGTATAATCAAAGATATAATTAGAGCTATTCTACAAACCAAAACTTTGGTTAAATATATGTATAATCAAAGATATAATTAGAGCTATTCTACAAAACAAAACTTTGGTTAAATATATGTATAATCAAAGATGCTATGTACTCACCAGGTATATCAGCCAAGACATCCAGTCCTGTTGCTCGCTGACCATCACGACTGATGTTGTCCAAAACCTGGACTTGTGGCAGTGACCCCAAGATATTAACTCTGTACCCTGAAATAATGGGGAAATATGGGAGATAACTGTGCTTTCATCCAACTTTGTTTTGCTGCTACTTAATTTTGAAATTTCCACTTTACAAGAATTCATTTAGAAGACAACATTATGTAAATAAGACATCAAACCCTTGGTTTAGTTCCAAATGATCAACTTTTACAAAAATGTTGATACTATATATCATAAAATTCATAAAAGTAAATAGCACCATGATAAAAAACTGAATTACAGATCATACCCTGTAACAGTGAACAGGGAAACAACTCTACACTGTCACATTGGGAAAGGGGGAGATAACTCTACTCTGTAACAGTAGAAAGAGAGGGGAGACAACTGTACAACCTAACTTTGGGAAGACAGGGAAGATAGCTGTACCCTTCCACAGCCGAAAAAGAGATTAAATGTTCATGCAATTAAACTCTATTGGGTGGGGGATAATAAACAAGATCAAACTACTGAATCACAATGATTAAACTCTCTTCATTTTAAATGCCATCAGCTCAGGGGCTAACTGGATATACACATTGTAGGTGTTTTGTTACGTACCCGCCTGGTTACACATTGGGTTTGAAGAACCATCAGCATTGAGACTGAGCTGCCGTAGGTTAACAAGGCCCGACAAACACTCACACACATGTCTGGATGAGGACAATTTGTTGCCTTGTAGTTCTATGTGGGTCAACTTGAAATTTGGACCAGTCACAGACTTAAATCCAGAAATGTCTGTTATTTGGTTATAGCTCAAATTTAATTTCACCAAAGATCTGAAAAAGAAAAAATAACCTAATAGTTAATGTCATTTTTTTTCTCAAATTGAAAAATAATTCTTTTTCCATTTGATTCACACTGACAGAGTAACCAACAAGAAATTAAGATATAAGACAGTGTGATCAGAAAACTACTTTAAATTAAGGGTTTCCAAATCTCCACTCGTGCTACTTATTGTTCATGATGCAGTCTTATTCATACAATCTAGTAATCTAAATAAAAACTTTCCATGGTTAAACTATAACCACAGCAACCTTTTGCTGAATATAAAAATTTGGCATATACAATATATGTTTCATATATGTGTCTGTTCATGCGTGTTTTTGTTAAACTGTACATTTAATTCTTACAAACATATTTAATTTCATCATATTGTTATAAGCATTACAGTTTTTGTCCTTTGAAAAACAACAAATGACAGCCAGGCTATCCAATCTTAACATTCTCTGCAGAAAACCAATTATTACCTTAGTCCAGCCAGGCCTCGAACATCAGTCAGAAAATTACATGACAAGTTTAGTGTCCTCAGAGATTCAAGTCCGTCCAATCCCTCAATGAAATTGATTTGATTGGAGGAGAGATCCAGGTGCTTCAGACTATATAGCTGGCTGAGATTGTTGATGACCTGGATGTAGTTTCCATGGAGATTGATACTCTGTAAGTGTGATCTGAGAGGTACCTGTTTTAATGAGCTGATTCCCGAGTCGATCAAACATAACTCCTGCGATTCACTGTCCATTGTGATTTTACTGTTGATTCTAAATATGTATCAGTTTACTCCATGTAAGATATTCCATGTAAAACAAGTCAAAATCATTCTTACTTCATGTATGTCCTCTAGCCAACCTGAACACCATTAGAAATTCTGGAAAAGGAAAACAATAGGTTAACTGTCAATAGTTCCAATATTCACAAATTAAACAATCACAACAGTATGAATCAAAACTGGTGTACATGCTTTTCCCCTGAAATCACGGAAGGGATGCAACTTCTTTTAATATATTTTTCTCTCTAAGTTAGTATCTATTTTTGTCATTTTATTCTATACTCAAAAATAGTGAAAGACAGACTAACAATAAAAACCTTTAAAAGGCAAGTTGAGACTCAGTACATAACTATAAAATTCCCATGCACATGTGCCTCACCTTATCAGGAAAAATTTTCTCATTTTGGTTAACTGATTGATGACTATGTCAAGGTCACAAAAACTGTAAAATTGACAAGTCCTTTCAAACCTGAGAGTCTAAAATTAGTTTTGGGAGGCAAGAACTCATCCTCAATGGTAAACATCCTGATGATGGCTGCCCAGAAGTCACGAGATGTTTGTGCTTAAAATGCATACATGTTGATCTTCTTTTCATTATATTGCATCGTTATAGGGGTTAGACAGGACGGTTATCATAACTTATTATGTGCTTCCTTGGAAATGAACTAATAAAAAGCTAAACTGGGTATAAAAATTAGGGTCGGTAGCAAAACAGTAACACAACCCATAATTTTAAAGAGTTATGTAGAAAATGTACCATTATGACTGTCATGACATTTCAATTCACAAATTAATAATACATAATCAAATTATGTTGTCAGTATAAAATAAAGAGTGTCTCAGATGAGTAGAAATATTTTGAAATTCTGGTTTGACAAAGAAGTAAAGTCATCAACACTTCAATAAAAATGTCATGAATCCATTCAAATTAATTACCAGTGTATATGTATGGTTTTTACCCCTTCAAAAACATCCATGCATATCATCATCTATGTGTTTATGTGAAATATAATAGTTTCCATTGATCATTTATATTTCAAATACATTTTTCACTATTCTTTTATTGGAAAATGTATTCTGACACCAGCTGTTGAGACTAATGACTATGGACTGTAAACATCTCTGATCACAGAACAGAATTATAAATAAAACATGTCACTGATGTGTTTTTTTCGTTTGATTGTTTCATCATGACTGCTACAGCTGTATTTTGTGTTACAGGACCCAATTATTGAGACACTTTTTAAAAATATAGCACCATTTCTACATGTTAAACACACTAATATGTAAATACTTATAAAAACAGTATACTTGTATATAATGAAAATAAAACTTAATTTAATGAAGCTTGCATATTTAGATCAGTACTTATCTTATACATATGACCCTAACAAGTAACATGAAGGAAGCACTCATTATCTCATTTTGAAAACCGTAAGATTTGAAAATGAACACATATACTTAACATTTGAAATTGCCCATATTTCATTCAAATATTTAATCATAATAAACTGTTAAATGCATAGACTAATATGACCAGTGCTCAAAAGGAACAGTACTTGATTCAGTTCTGATTCCACAAAATGGCTGATTTGTTCAAACATGATGCATGATAATTATGTCACTTTTCTACGTCTAATAAGAAAAGATCTCTGTAACTACAATGGTAATTTGAATCCAGCAGCTGATGACTGCACAGCCGATTCTGCTGTACACAACTGTCAAAATACATTGTAAACATTGATTCCTACAAAGTTTGCATACTTTATCTTTTTGTCTACTCTGAAATAGTCATAGTAAAATATCAAAAGGAAAGTATCACATCAAATGTGGATTTGATGTATTTTACAAAATATGTGGTACAAACCAAAACATTGGTCACATTTTCCCACAACACTACAACATCATAAATCTTCAATATTTCAATGAGGTTTTTGAGCATAGGTTCCGACCTTCACTGATATCCACCATTACACCAGTTTCATTTAATAAACTGCTAATAATTAATAAATAACAACATTCTAATAAGAGCAATGCTCTTTTGCGCCCAAGCAAAGCTCTATACCGGGATAAGAGGTCCAAGGGCTTTATCCATCTAAGAAAATGTGTCAAAGGCATGGAGCATATGTGCTTTTCACTTTACCCATAGCTTATGTTAATCAAAAATGCTACGACAGCAGTTATGGTTTCCTGAATTTGTTCCATGTACTTTTAATTTCTACTTAAAGTTAAAGACGATTTTACACAAATGAATTCAAATTTCTTTATTGCTCCAAGTACCCTGTGTATAACACCAACCCATATCATGACATTCCAATATCTACACAAGCACACAAAACATCAATGTCACAATAATTCCATGATTGATCATTTGTAGCAAAATTTTCTTTATTTCGTGAAGCACTAACTAGATAACCAAAATCATTGATGTTTTATGTTCTTGACACTTTCAACTGTGAATGTCATTTTGGCATTAACCTTCATTCTTTCCAGGTACTGCCTGAGGCACATTATAGCTGAAAATGCTCATGACAGGTCTCTTCTAAGTCTACACAACAATAATTGAAATTGTTGGCAAGTATTCAGATTAATACAGAAAAATAAAAAACTATGTTTTGTGTCCTAGCACCAGTCAGGGGATTCTAACAGGCACTGGAGCATCAATAAATCTGGCTATATAAGCAGATTTGGCTATTAATTCAAATATGACTATACATATGTAGGGCAAACATAAACAACTATGCCATGCCTGGTCACAATCATGGTGTGCACAAAAATGGACAACAAATTAATGGTAAAATAAATAATTTCTGTCATAAGACACCTTTTCAGGCAAGTATGTTGAATTTTATTGTTACAATTTTTAGTACTTGCACCCCTTTATCTACATGTTGCGATAGTGAGACATGAAATTTCATTTATGATTAAAACACTTATTATTTCATTTTCTTCCACCACACAATTAACAATCATTGTGGGCTATGTTTTTTCGCACTGAAACATCATGCTGAAAGTGCACCTGTAACCCAAATCTGCATCAAAGGAATGTTTATCTGCAAACGACACTTTGAGTGAATGACACCAAATTGGATGACCTCGCTATACATTGTTACTGAATCGCGAGTGTATATGGATACTGCCTAACGATTAATTTCCAAAACAATCGACTGATATTTAGCAAATATGTCAAAAACATTCATTTCGTTGACTTACATGATTCGTCCTCCATTTTTCCGATCTGTCTGAACCTCACCTGTATGTTAACATTTGCCCCATAAACGTACAGTCAAATTTGAATATATTGCTAAATTTGCCTATGTAGCAAGATTTGACGGTGCTACAGTACTCCCTCTCTAAGTAATCAAGTCTTATACATGTACTTAGACATACCGATGACACATCGAATGATACATATTTCCAGACATTGTTAGACCTGTTGCTTTAAGAAACTATACACTCACGTAGAGCATACTGTATACACACAACATGCAATCCAATATATAGTTAATTTTACATTTGCCTCTTCTTCCGCAAGTTAGCAGCCGCAAGTTTATACTTGCCGCTGACATTTGATCAAAGTTTCCGACACGCTTCCTTCCGACACGCTTTGACTGCAATCATTCAATTGATTAAGATCAATGTTGTCATAAATTCCTATTTTGTTTTCGTTTTCAATTAACAATTATTGAGGATATTACAGTTAGCCGTTAAACGGTTGAATTGTATTAAATGACTTTACTTACATGTTGTATATTTCATAACTGAAACTGAATATTATATTTTTGCCATTTTTGGCACTAGCTCTTACTTTCGGAACTGATCGAGAATTTAGGTAACTTAGAAAATAAAGTAAAAATAACATGCCTATGTAATGTTTACACTGGCATTGATAATCAACATTAAATGTCGTGTTCGTAATATTCGTTATCTTGAATATGATATTAATATACAATGATGTCATCTTATTGTAAAACCATTTTTACATATTGGCCAAAAATAAATCCATATCCGGTACTCCTTTTGACTTTTCCCTAATCTCCATCGTAAATGAGAATTGATATGATGACGGATATGTTCTGTGGAGTTAACTAAATCTATCATGACAAAAATTCTTCAGTATTTTCATTTTGTTGGTTAAGACGTTAAGTTTCTTTCTCTTAGATGACGAGACTTATTTACCAAATATTGGGAATGCAAGAGCGATTTGAATATAAACAGTAATTTCAACACGGAACATTGAAAGTGTTACCAGGAAGTACTTCATTGCGCAAGGAAATTGTAAAGTGTCCTGTGGTTATCTGTGACAGCCAAATTGTTTGATATTCAGCTGTTATATAACTACTACAAAAATGTTTGATGAAGTATTCTATATGGTAAGTACATCTGTTAATAAAAATTCATGCATTGTTTTTAATGTAGATCAAAGATACGGGATGGAATTATGTAAAGAACGCGCAGGTATGGTCTTATTTTAAGGAAATAATTGTAAAGACCTAAGGGCTTCTATTGACCGGAGGACAGTAAAAAACAGCACAAAGTACTAATACAGAATTAATTACACCTGTCCTCAGTTGTATATATGTATATGCCAATAGATTTGAAACACCAGAATGATGTATTGGAGCAGTATACCTGTATTATATATGTTTATTAGACTTTGAAGATTTTACTCACTGGCTTGGTGTAACTGACCAGGACCATATATTTGATAGTTACTGTCTTAAAATTAAGTGTTATGAACAACTTTGTGATAATCAAGATCCTAATTCAGGCAATAAATGTTTTCTGTTTACCAGGTATACATGTAATAAGATGACTGATGGCTTAACTTTGTTAAATATGGTATGTGCCTAGAAATATTGGAGAAACTCAGATAATACTAAGTGTGTGAGAGAAAACTCATTGTAATTCATAGATTATTTAAACATTTGTATAATGTCAACTTATTATAATTACACAATCAATTTTACTTATATTGTAGATTGAAAGTTAAATGTGAATCCATTGATCAATTGACATAAAGAAATTCCAAATACAATATGAGGTTCTTCCCAAGACGCTACCGTCCCTCGGTACGTACAGTGTTTCAAGAAAACTCTTCGAGCCATTTGAACTTTAACCCGTTCCAGAAATGTCAATTTTACATCCCCAAATGCCTGAGTGCCACATCCCCTTCAGATATTCTCAATGGGGCAGATGTAGATGAAGTTGAGGATTTCTCAGCTGGGTGCTGGCTTCAGGACCACCTTCATCAGTTTGGGAATGGAATTACACAGCTGGTGACCACAACTTCCAGTTCACAGCTTAGCTATTCAACTGACAGCTGGACATGTTCTGAAAGTGATATTGATATTACCACAGAAGCCAGTGAAAATGAATATATTTCAATGGCAGAAGATCTTGATGAAAATTATGTTGAATATCGTCCTCTTTTTCAATTCCAATCTGCTTCCATATCTCGTTACACAATGGTACAAGAACCCCCTCCGTATGGCTTTGATGAACCACCGCCTTCTTATGAAGAGGCAATAAGAGGGTATACTGATCAAACAAGTGAGAGAACCAATAGCTCAAACTGTCTGAGAAATTTTGATGTCCTTTTTTAAGATACATTTTTTTGTTTTGTTTTTGTATTTTCATTCATTTACTGACATTTTATAATCATTTTTATTCATTATATATATACAATATTTCATATGCAAAATTTATGAATTAGTATCAAATATTACATGTGATATATATTTCTTATACAGTTTGACAGAAACTGAATCATTGTAGGACACATAAAACAAGATGGATGATATGTGAATGGACAGGCATGTGAATTGGAGAAAGCGTGGAAAAGTAGCATGCTTGGATGAAAGACTTCCAAGTTTGTTTATTAAATGACCTTGATCATCCAATCTGGGGTCAAATATGTTTTGAGCTTAATTCTGTTCCATTACAAATCAGAAGCCCTGGGTTACAGTATTTGTACAGTAAATACTAGGCATGGGATTTTCGAATGTTTAGAATCTGGACTGAAAAGGTCTTACTTTTAATATAGAAAAAATGTGAGCGATTCTGACTCATTGGGTCTATTGTTTATACAAGGGAAACTGCATAGTTGATATATTCTATGTATTTATCCCGATTTATATGGTAATGAGTCAGCTTACCCCTCCTAGAGTGATAAAACCCCAAACAATATATATAGGTAACTTAAGTTGATAAAACTTGGTTCATTATAGTTATACAACTGATAGAGTTATTTTAAAGGCCTTGCCTTTTCCTGTCAGTGTATTTACTCAGATTTATATTGACAGTATAGATACTCAATATTTTATGTACCATATATGTTTGTGCCTACTCATACAGTTGCCATGATGTTCATTGTGGTAACCACCAGATACAAGACTTTCCTCAAAAAGACCCTGACTGCTCACGTGATGATAAACTAAAAAAAAACACCAAACCATTCATGTATTTAACAATATTGATATTATCATTTTTATCAAAGTGGGAGGACTTTTGATATGTACAGAAGTCAACACCAGAAGACCAAGGGTCAGCATAATTAGTTGCATGTTTGGGTCTGAGGAAAGATCTAAACTTGTTTTCAATTTCAAAAATGTTTCAGACTTAAAAATGACTTTTCTGAATATCCCACCATTCTAATACTGCAACTTAATCCAGTATAAATGCATTGTAACCAAGATATTATTATATACTTTTTGTAGCTGACCAGTGCTGCATACAATTTTGTACCAATACTCACAATTGTATTACCTGCTGATTAAATATAAAAGCTACATGAATGAAATTGTCCAACAAAGTCTCTATCTCGAGTGCAGAAAATTTGAATGTGCATCTTGTTTGTGTAATCATTTGCAACATTTAATAAAACCAGACGAAAATCTTGGTAGACTATGATTCTCCTATTGAGATTACTTGGTTGGACAGAAAATTATCATTCTGTCTAATATTATTGTACAATGTGTATGTATAACATACATAAAAATGTAGTTTTTGTTTATACATTTCAAGTCATAAATTTAGACACTTACATCAAGTGAGTAAGACATCAGCACAAAATATTTCAGTGATTTTGAAACAATTAAAAATTGTAAATGATAGAGAAATTATTTTAATATGAAATACAATATGGCTTAAGATGCTGATTTTTATTAGCCCACTTTATCTGAAGTAGAATTACATAAAGAGATTATGATTTTGATCTAGTGTAGCATCAATTCTGTCCATTTGTCTGTCATCTTTCTGTCTATCAACTATTTTTCATTAGAAAGACTTATCCTCTTGAATGACTAGACAAATTTGTATTACAAAATCTCAGCTGATTTATCCTTGGGATAATGGCAGAAGAGGCATGCATACAAGTTTTGTTGTTGTGGGATTAATCTGATCAGCCTTTTGGAAAGACAACAATCTTTTTTGTACGCACCAAGCTGATGTAGTGTTACTTCACAAGGTGATGAGCAGAGTTACTCCCCAAGTCATGTGTAGTGTAACTCCTCCAGGTCATGTGTAGTGTTACTCCCCCAGGTCATGTGTAGTGTTACTCCTCCAGGTCATGTGTAGCATGACTCCTCCTGGTCATGTGTAGTGTTACTCCCCCAGGTCATGTGTAGTGTTACTCCCCCAGGTCATGTGTAGCATGACTCCTCCTGGTCATGTGTAGTGTTACTCCCCCAGGTCATGTGTAGTGTTACACCCCAAGTCATGTGTAGTGTTACTCCCCAAGTCATGTGTAGTGTTACTCCCCCAGGCCATGTGTAGTGTTACTCCCCCAGGTCATGTGTAGTGTTACTCCCCCAGGTCATGTGTAGTGTTACTCCCCAAGTCATGTGTAGTGTTACTCCCCAAGTCATGTGTAGCATGACTCCTCCTGGTCATGTGTAGTGTAACTCCTCCAGGTCATGTGTAGTGTTACTCCCCAAGGTCATGTGTAGTGTTACTCCCCAAGTCATGTGTAGTGTTACTCCCCCAGGTCATGTGTAGTGTTACTCCCCCAGGCCATGTGTAGTGTTACTCCCCAAGTCATGTGTAGTGTTACTCCCCCAGGTCATGTGTAGTGTTACTCCCCAAGTCATGTGTAGTGTAACTCCCCCAGGTCACATGTGTGTTACTTTCTCAGGTCATGTGTAGTGTAACTCCCCCAGGTCATGTGTAGTGTTACTCCCCCATGTCATGTGTAGTGTTACTCCTCCAGGTCATGTGTAGTGTTAATCCCCAGGTCATGTCACTCCCCCGGGTACTGGTCAAAGATGGACTTGAAGGTAATTAAGCATGGGCAGGTGATTGGGTGATGAGGATTATAATGAAACTTGGTTGGTACACTTGATAGTCCCTTACCCAAGTTCAATCAACAGCAAATTTCACACACATTTGATAAGGCTGCCATGTCTTGATTGGCTGATTTCTTTAATTCCTCTATGAGAAATCTCTCTGCACATTACCTTATGAAGGAATGATATGATTTTGAGGAAACTTGCTTTGTAGACTTATTACTTTAATTTCTCATTCAAGTTTGATTATCGGTAGATTCTATGCATATTTTAAGAGACTGCTGTGATCTGATTGGCTGATGCCTTTTGGCACTCTAACCAATGCCTTCTACACATTATTATTTGAAGGAAAAAATGAATTATGAGACTTGCTTGGTAGACTTGTTATCTTAATCCCTTGTTCAAGTTTGATTATCAGCAAATTCTGCTCATATTTCATGGGGCTGCTGTAACCTGTTTGGCTGACATCTTTTCCAGTTTTCCATCTTGCTCACTTTAAATGTATATAGTTTACAAGTGAACATGGGCAAGGGATCTTGATGACTATGTCCTTGTTATTATTTGAAGTATACCCAAAGCTGATAGTTTGAAAGCCACTAAGGCACCCAATAGCTTTCTAAATTATTGGTGAGCATACAGGTCCTATGGACCTCTTGAAGAGTTAAGTTTGATATTGATATCTGTTATGATACCCTGAAACAGGACTTTTAAGTTGTATATGTTGATATTAACATAGATAATGACAACATTTGATATATCTTATGTCTTTCCACAGCATGTATGATCTATTCTATAGCTTTCATTTAAGTTTTCATGACGCCAACTCTATATTTTTCCTATATGCAAATGTGATATAAAAGAAATATTACGAATGTGAAAACTGAATTATCTGTATTTTAACTAAAAATGTAGCATTGTGATGTTTTTTACTGCTAAAGAGAAACTAGATTTTGTTATGTTTGATGTGTTATGGCTACCCAGCTAAATATGGTACTTATGTTTTTAATAAAAAAAAAAAAAAGAATAAATACCTAATGTTTATCGAGATTAATTTTGCTTTCTTTTACTTCCTGGTAAAATGAAGTAAAAATAAGTCGGTAATGTTTTCTAGGTATTTGGTCCTGATCTGATGACAGATGACATTTATAAACTGATGGAGGTACTCTCTGGTGAAATGTAGTTTTAAAAAGTCGGTAATGTTTTCTTGCAAATTCTGCTGGCGCTACAGGTGTGCGCTGGTGCGATATTCTATTGGGAAATGACGCCATCGCCACGACATGTTAGGAACGGTAGAACCACTGGTCTAAAAATATTTCGTCCCGATTTCGAATGTCAGTTAAGTTGTCATTTACCACATAAAGTCTGGTACAGTTACATGGCCCTCTCTACGCCCCCAACCTCCGACCAGCACACAAAATCCGCCGTAAACATTGCATTTCCGCTGCAACTCAGCTCAACACTTTGCGCCTACCGTCATCCTGTTGCAGATAAAATTGGGTCTCCGAAAACAGCGTGACGTTGCACCCGAATTGGTCCAGTGTAGACAGATGCAAACCGTTCAAATAATGTTTTTCTCCATATCTACTGCGGTTATGAATCTAGTGATCATTCTGAGGGGTCGGCCACTTCAGGATGGGCCGCATATCGACCCAGTTTGATGTAAAAGACTTCTGCTCGACGCCTACAACGCTAGCCATTTCGCTCTACTAAGACTTGACACAATGCTGTTTATGAAATTCAAACAAAGATACAAGTTATTTGTAGAAAACCATTCCGTTTTGTAACTCCCTAGAATATTGAATTGTAATCTAATGCCATTTTTCATATTTTATACGCGTCGTTTTGTTTCCACTCATTTACAGGTATATTTGTCAATAAGACATGCCGGCATTTTCCCCCGTATGTAGTCAATGTCTTCGAAACTGTTTGAGTTACTTCCCTTGAAACACAGGTCTGTCCGACTGTAAAATGACCCTCAAACGATTGGCTGTTGACAAAACCTGCTTAAAATAATATTTATCGCGTTGACTAAGATGAAGTGGGGACAAAGAAAATAGTGATAAATTAATCTCCATCGAGGGGATCCATCAATGTACTTTTTATTTGTTTCAAGTTCATATAAATTCCTCATCTATTAATTAAATATGATTGATGCTACGGTCAATCAATCTGACGGGGTATTATTGGTGGTAGGTGGCTACGGTATGAGAACATAGAGGCTGTGAGATACAGACATACGAGAATGACGTGATATGTGTAGACACATGGACTAGAGTGTTGAGGCACAGGGACCTCAATGTTACGAGTTATATACACGTGACTAGAGTGTTGAGGCACAGGAACCTTAGTGTTACGAGATACTTACATGTGACTAGAGTGTTGAGACACAGGGACCTTAGTGTTACGAGTTACATACAAGTGACTAGAGTGTTGAGGCACAGGGACTTCAGTGTTACGAGTTACTTACACGTGACTAGACTGTTGAGACACAGGGACCCCAGTGTTACGAGTTACTTACACGTGACTAGAGTGTTGAGGCACAGGGACCTTAGTGTTACGAGTAACTTACACGTGACTAGAGTGTTGAGGCACAGGGACCTTAGTGTTACGAGATACTTACACGTGACTAGAGTGTTGAGGCATAGGGACCTCAGTATTACAAGTTACTTACACGTGACTAGAGTGCTGAGGCATAGGGACCTCAGTATTACAAAATTTCTTACACGTGACTAGAGTGTTGAGGCACAGGGACCTCAGTGTTACGAGTTACTTTCACGTGACTAGAGTGTTGAGACACAGGGACCCCAGTGTTACGAGTTACTTACACGTGACAAGACTGTTGAGACACAGGGACCTTAGTGTGACGAGTAACGTACACGTGAATAGAGTGTACTAAACCCGGACCTGTGCACTGTACACTCGGTTATAACCACGAACGTGTTTGCTGTACACTCGATAATAACCCAGAACCTGTTCAATGTACATTCGGTAATAACCTCGGACCTGTTCACTGTACACTAAGATATAACCCCGAACCTGTTTGCTGTATAGTCGATATTAACCCCGGACCTGTTCACTGTACATTCAGTAATAACCCCGGACCTGTTCACTGTACACTAAGATATAACCCCGAACCTGTTTGCTGTACACTCGGTAATAACCCCGAACCTGTTCACTGTACACTCGGTAATAACCCCGAACCTGTTTGTACACTCGGTAATAACCCCGGACCTGTTTGCTGTACACTCGGTAATAACCCCGAACCTGTTCACTGTACACTCGGTAATAACCCCGAACCTGTTTGCTGTACACTCGGTAATAACCCCGAACCTGTTTGCTGTACACTCGGTAATAACCCCGAAGCTATTCACTGTACTCTCGGTAATAACCCCGGTTCACTGCACTGTACTAACCCATGCTGTTTACTGTACACTCGGTAATAACCCCTGTTTGCTGTACACTCGGTATTCCCCGGGACTGTACTCTCGGTAATAACCCCGGGCCTGTTTGCTGTACACTCGGGAATAACCCCGAACCTATTCACTGTACACTCGGTAATAACCTCGGACCTGTTTGCTGTACATTCGGTAATAACCCCGAACCTGTTTGCTGTACACTCGGTAATAACCCCGAACCTGTTTGCTGTACACTCGGTAATAACCCCGAACCTGTTTGCTGTACACTCGGTAATAACCCCGAACCTGTTCACTGTACACTCGGTAATAACCCCGAACCTGTTTGCTGTACACTCGGTAATAACCCCGAACCTGTTTGCTGTACACTCGTTAATAACCCCGAACCTGTTTGCTGTACACTCGTTAATAACCCCGAACCTGTTCACTGTACACTCGGTAATAACCCCGGACCTGTTTACTGTACACTCGGTAATAACATAACCCCGGACCTGTTTACACTCGTGTTTGCTGTACACTCGGTAATCGGTACATAACCCCTTTTCATTGTACACTCGGTAATAACCCCGGATCTGTTTGCTGTACACTCGGTACTAACCCCCGGACCTGTTCACTGTACATTCGGTACTAACCCCGGACCTGTTTATTGTACACTCGGTAATAACCCCGGATCTGTTTGTTGTACACTCGGTACTAACCCCGGACCTGTTTGCTGTACACTCGGTACTAACCCCGGACCTGTTCACTGTACACTCGACCATATTAACACAGGGACCTGTTCACTATACACTCGATCATACTAACTCAGGGACCTTTTCACTGCACACTCAGTACTAACACATGGAGCTGTTTACTGTACACCCGTCCATACTAAAACAGGGACATGTTTACTGTACACTCGACCATACTAACACAGGGACCTTTTCACTGCACACTCAGTACTAACACATGGAGCTGTTTACTGTACACCCGTCCATACTAAAACAGGGACATGTTTACTGTACACTCGACCATACTAACACAGGTACCTGTTTACTGTACACCCGTCCATACTAGCACAAGGACCTGCTCATTGTACACTTGATTATGCTAACACAGGGACCTGTTCACTGTACACTCGACCATACTAACACAGGGAACTGTTCACTGTACACTGTTCACTGTACACTCGATCATACTAACTCAGGGACCTTTTCACTGCACACTCAGTACTAACACATGGAGCTGTTTACTGTACACTCGTCCATACTAAAACAGGGACATGTTTACTGTACACTCGACCATACTAACACAGGGACCTTTTCACTGCACACTCTGTACTAGCACATGGAGCTGTTTACTGTACACCCGTCCATACTAAAACAGGGACATGTTTACTGTACACCCGTCCATACTAAAACAGGGACATGTTTACTGTACACTCGACCATACTAACACAGGTACCTGTTTACTGTACACCCATCCATACTCACACAAGGACCTGTTCATTGTACACTTGATTATGCTAACACAGGGACCTGTTCACTGTACACTCGACCATTCTAACACAGGGACCTGTTCACTGTACACTCGACCTTGCTAACACAGGGACCTGTTCACTGTACACTCGACCTTGCTAACACAGGGAACTGTTCACTGTACACTCGACCATTCTAACACAGGGACCTGTTTACTGTACACTCGACCATACTAACACAGGGACCTGTTCACTGTACACTCGACCATTCTAACACACGGACCTGTTCCTTGTACATTCGACCATTCTAAGACAGGGGCATGTTTACTGTACACTCGACCATACTAATACAGGGACCTGTTCACTGAACCTTTGATAATGCTAACACAGGGACCTGTTCACTGACACTCGGTAATAACCCCGGACCTGTTTATTGTACACTCGGTAATAACCCCGGATCTGTTTGTTGTACACTCGGCACTAACCTCGGACCTGTTCACTGTACACTCGACCATATTAACACAGGGACCTGTTCACTGTACACTCGACCTTGCTAACACAGGGACCTGTTCACTATACACTCGATCATACTAACTCAGGGACCTTTTCACTGCACACTCAGTACTAACACATGGAGCTGTTTACTGTACACCCGTCCATACTAAAACAGGGACATGTTTACTGTACACTCGACCATACTAACACAGGGACCTTTTCACTGCACACTCAGTACTAACACATGGAGCTGTTTACTGTACACCCGTCCATACTAAAACAGGGACATGTTTACTGTACACTCGACCATACTAACACAGGTACCTGTTTACTGTACACCCGTCCATACTAACACAAGGACCTGTTCATTGTACACTTGATTATGCTAACACAGGGACCTGTTCACTGTACACTCGACCATACTAACACAGGGAACTGTTCACTGTACACTCGACCTTGCTAACACAGGGGCCTGTTTACTGTACACTCGACCATACTAACACAGGGACCTGTTCACTGTACACTCGATCATACTAACTCAGGGACCTTTTCACTGCACACTCAGTACTAACACATGGAGCTGTTTACTGTACACTCGTCCATACTAAAACAGGGACATGTTTACTGTACACTCGACCATACTAACACAGGGACCTTTTCATTGCACACTCTGTACTAGCACATGGAGCTCTTTACTGTACACCCGTCCATACTAAAACAGGGACATGTTTACTGTACACTCGACCATACTAACACAGGTACCTGTTTACTGTACACCCGTCCATACTAACACAGGTACCTGTTTACTGTACACCCGTCCATACTAACACAAGGACCTGTTCATTGTACACTCGATTATGCTAACACAGGGACCTGTTCACTGTACATTCGACCATACTAACACAGGGAACTGTTCACTGTACACTCGACCTTGCTAACACAGGGGCCTGTTTACTGTACACTCGACCATACTAACACAGTGACCTGTTCACTGTACACTCGACCATTCTAAGACAGGGGCATGTTTACTGTACACTCGACCATACTAATACAGGGACCTGTTCACTGAACCTTCGATAATGCTAACACAGGGACCTGTTCACTGACACTCGTCCATACTAAAACAGGTACATGTTTACTGTACACTAGACCATACTAACACAGGGACCTTTTCACTGCACACTCAGTACTAACACATGGAGCTGTTTACTGTACACCCGTCCATACTAACACAGGGACCTGCTCACTGAACACTCGATAATGCTAACACAGGGACCTGTTCACTGTACTCTCGACCATTCTAACACAGGGACCTGTTCACTGTACACTCAGAACGCAGTACTAATACAGTGACTGGATTAGCTGATCAAATTAATGCGGAAAACGACAAACTATGGGATTAAAAAGTTATCATGCCATATTGAATGCCACAGGAATGAAAAAATATGTCAGAAATGTACGTACATACAATCGATTTTAAATTATTCTTTAGAAAATTTAGCATCTGTATATCTACCATAACGCCCCACCTTAAAGATAGTGGTCAGAAATGTTAAATGTCACGATGTTATTTATTTCAGTAAGTTGTGGGCTCTGGGTGATCAGGAATTGGTAACACTTATGAGATAAATACAACGGTAAGGTGACCAACTCCAGAAAATAATAACGTTATCAATCAGCGGAGGACTCGTTCAATCAATATTTCATACTACGGCCACATAAACACAAGAACATCTTCTATTACCATCAGCCACGATCGGGCAGTCGACGTAAGCTTCAGTCTGTGTGCTCCATACAATATTCATAATGAGTCGATAACACAGCGCTCAGATTCGTTATCTTAAAGAAATTTCTATGCTGTTCATAATACGATTTGTTGATAAAAGAGGCAGTCATCGAAATATTTCACGACGAGTGAAATTATTTACATAGTCATACAATTAAAAGAATGTTTAAATGTGAATTGATTTATAAAGAAAACCTTCTTTTCTTTGCTTTAAGCTAACTAAGGCTTTTGATTACATCTACCTGTTTCCAGTGTAACTACAGGGCTGCATGTCTTATCACAGGTACATGTGAAGTAGAATTTTTTCAGTGGGTTTTACAGTAAATAATTTATTCAACATAATAACGATTGAATTATGTGTGACATATCTGTTTCATTATAAACCATTATGTCGGTAAAACAATAAGTGAAGTTTTGTTTCTAGCCCACAATCCCCTGTGTCGGTCGGGACATCAACAGGTTTATATAGATACACATATAAGTTATCGCGGACGATAGTATGGTACCTGGAGATGTACAGTTCTGACTCTGGGATGTGGATTTGTACAGACAGGTTGGGTGCTGATATGGTTTGTACATGTAAGTTTTCATGATAAGTACAGTGTATGTATATATGTATAACTTAAATTTTGATGAAAATTCGAGATACACGTGTCATCGTTAAACTCCATTGAGTATGTTCGTATGATAAAGTATCAAACATGTTGTTCATATATCCGTGCATGAACCGCATTATGAAAATCCTAGGAAAATTCCTTTGGTCACGCCGGGTTGGGGTCAAACGATCTCTCACTCTCGAAGTAAGTAAATACCACCGCTGTCGGAGGTGGTGAGGTTTTGGTAATCTCGTGTTTATTACGGCAGATTAGTTGAACATAAACTTTCCTATTTCTTCAAGAAATACTACCTACAGAATTGATTTATAAAGTTCCTACAATAGACTGAGCTCTACGATGACTGTATGTAATAGCCTACATATCGATGTCTAAGGATAATACATAACATTCCCATGGTGACGTTTGGAATCCCCGTGGTTGATGTTTGATATTCCTGTGGTTGATGTTTGATATTCCCGTGGTTGATGTTTGATATTCCCGTGGTTGATGTTTGATATTCCCGTGGTTGATGTTTGATATTCCTGTGTTTGATGTTTGATGTTTCCGTGGTTGATGTTTGATATTCTCGTGGTTGATGTTTGATATTCCTGTGTTTGATGTTTGATGTTTCCGTGGTTGATGTTTGATATTCTCGTGGTTGATGTTTGATATTCCTGTGATATTCCCGTGGTTGATGTTTGATATTCCTGTGATATTCCCGTGGTTGATGTTTGATATTCCTGTGTTTGATGTTTGATATTCCCGTGGTTGATGTTTGATATTTCCGTGTTTGATGTTTGATGTTTCTGTGTTTGATGTTTCCGTGGTTGATGTTTGATATTCCCGTGGTTGATGTTTGATATTCCTGTGGTTGATGTTTGATATTCCTGTGGTTGATGTTTGATATTCCCGTGGTTGATGTTTGATATTCTCGTGGTTGATGTTTGATATTCCTGTGTTTGATGTTTGATATTCCCGTGGTTGATGTTTGATATTCCCGTGGTTGATGTTTGATGTTTCCGTGTTTGATGTTTGATATTCCCGTGGTTGATGTTTGATATTCCCGTGGTTGATGTTTGATATTCCCGTGGTTGATGTTTGATATTCCCGTGGTTGATGTTTGATATTCCTGTGATATTCCCGTGGTTGATGTTTGATATTCCTGTGATATTCCCGTGGTTGATGTTTGATATTCCTGTGATATTCCCGTGGTTGATGTTTGATATTCCTGTGATATTCCCGTGGTTGATGTTTGATATTCCCGTGGTTGATGTTTGATATTCCCGTGGTTGATGTTTGATATTCCTGTGGTTGATGTTTGATATTCCCGTGGTTGATGTTTGATATTCCCGTGGTTGATGTTTGATATTCCCGTGTTTGATGTTTGATATTACCGTGTTTGATGTTTGATGTTTCCGTGTTTGATGTTTGATGTTTCCGTGTTTGATGTTTGATGTTTCCGTGTTTGATGTTTGATGTTTCTGTGTTTGATGTTTCCGTGGTTGATGTTTGATATTCCCGTGGTTGATGTTTGATATTCCTGTGTTTGATGTTTGATGTTTCCGTGGTTGATGTTTGATATTTCCGTGTTTGATGTTTGATATTTCCGTGTTTGATGTTTGATGTTTGAGATTCCCGTGGTTGATATTTGATATTCTCGTGATTGATGTTTGATATTCCCGTGGTTGATATTTGATATTCCCGCGGTTGATGTTTGATATTCCCGCGGTTGATGTTTGATATTCCCGTGGTTGATATTTGATATTCTCGTGATTGATGTTTGAGATTCCTGTGGTTGATGTTTGATATTCCTGTGATATTCCCGTGGTTGATGTTTGACATTCCTGTGATATTCCCGTGGTTGATGTTTGATATTCCCGCGGTTGATGTTTGAGATTCCCGTGATTGATGTTTGAGATTTCCGTGGTTGATATTTGATATTCCGTGGTTGATGTTTGATATTCCTGTGGTTGATGTTTGATATTCCCGTGGTTGATGTTTGATATTCCCGTGGTTGATGTTTGATGTTTCCGTGTTTGATGTTTGATGTTTCCGTGTTTGATGTTTGATGTTTCCGTGTTTGATGTTTGATGTTTCCGTGGTTGATGTTTGATATTCCCGTGGTTGATGTTTGATATTCCCGTGGTTGATGTTTGATATTACCGTGGTTGATGTTTGATATTCCCGTGGTTGATGTTTGATATTTCCGTGGTTGATGTTGGATATTCCCGTGGTTGATGTTTGATATTTCCGTGGTTGATGTTTGATATTCCCGTGGTTTGATGTTTCCGTGTTTGACGTTTGATGTTTGATGTTTCCGTGTTTGATGTTTGATGTTTCCGTGTTTGATTTTTTATGTTGCCGTGTTTGATGTTTAATGTTGCCGTGTTTGACGTTTGATGCTTGATGTATCCATGGTTGATGTTTGATATTCCCGTGGTTGATGTTTCCGTATTTAGCGGTTGTTGTTTTGTGTTTGACGTTGGATGTTACTATGTATGACGGTTGGTGTTGCCGTGTTTGATGTTTGGTGTTTTTGTGTTTAGCGGGTGTTTGACGTTGGATGTTACTATGTATGACGGTTGGTGTTTCAGTATTTGATTTTCGTGTTTGACGTAGAGTTCATGGACCAGAATTAGAGGTTCGAGGACTGAAATAGGGGTAGAGGTGAGAGGTCAGGGAACAGAGGTAGAAATGAGAGATCATTTTACTCGACAACAGTTGAAAGGTCAACGAGCAGAACTGTGGGTGAGAGGTCAGGATCATATGTGAGTGGACAGAGTAATGGACTAGATATAAGGACAACGGATAGATCAGGCTCCTTCTGTTGTTTAGCTGTTGACCCCTGACCTCTTCAAGCGGTAGCCGCACTTAGGTGCAATCATAGATCAGACTCACAATCCCCTGTGTCGTTTAGCAGTTACCTCTGACCCCTTCAAGCGGTGACCGCATTTAGATTATAGTAATTACACACTGAACGAGTGACTACATTCTGAGTAAGGAACTTTAAATACAATGTAACGTATACACCACACTTAAACTATTCTCGACTGTTGTGTATAGGATTGGTATCGATTGGTTTAAATTGTAAACATCAACATGGTCTGAGATACCATACCTGTACAGGTAAGTCGATATATTAATCAATGTTTGATTTCTCTGACATTTTATTCTTCCTAGGTCAGTCTACATGTTTTATATTATTTGAACATCGAAAATCGACATCGAGTGACAACTGTTCATCTAGGTGAATACACGGGATAAAGCCTGTTGGTACAATATCATTGCGCCTCGTGAAGGATATACAGTATATAGCGATAGATAAATTTTGTGTACCAGTACGTGTGTGATGTTTTTACGTAAAGAGTTTTGGTATCAATTGAATAATAGATTATATCACTTAAAATGATCACAGCTGTATATACAATATACATATCTATGATCTATATCAACCCCACAAATGTGAGTAGTTCTATGTGCACCGTCTACGTGTGACCCACAAAAGGCTAGCTCAATGAAAATGTCTATTATTACATAAATCGTTTTCTGAAGTTAAACTGATCCCACACTCACATACGACGAGGTTTTTTCCATAAAATGAACAATTTGAAAAAAGTAATTAAAGAGAAATTCCCACCCCTTTGTCACCATCTTCACCGAAATATCAGAACTGTCAAAATACGGACTATGTCAGAATAATACCGAGAAATCAGATATTATTTAGAAATAAGAAGTTAGAAATGTATTTGCAGCATGGGGCCTCGTTTTGAAAAAGTTATACAAATACGAAACATAATTTATATTTCCTTATGTAGAATAAGGATTAGTATGCTTGTAATCTGTTTTAGATTATGAGTATCATTTCGGTCACTGATAATTACACTTGTCTGTTTCCCTGATTATTAAGCAATCCATAGAAATCCGCCTCGCAATGGCCTGTGTTTAAATCACCAACGCGGTTATCGTTGTTCAGAATGTTTTTCCTTTTAATGAATTCAACAAGGATTTGTTTGGACAGGGAATTGGCAACCATTCAAGGCTGTTTACTTGTGACAAAACGATGTCAATGTCGTCACGTGATGTTATCATTACCGATTTCTATAAACTAATACATATATTTTTGTTTACGTATGATACAGTATGTAATTAGAAAGTTGTGTGATCCTAGTCAGACGGTTAATTACCAATCTCTCCATCAGCTGACACACCATGCTACATTTAAAAGTTCATCTCTTACAGTGGACATGTATCGTGGCATGTCCTGATGAGTGACAGAGCACTCAAGCGTCATTTCTCGCCACACCCGGACAATGAAGTGACGTAGTTTTTTGACACATTCAAATTACTCACGTTTTTATTCTACCTTAAATCACAGGGCTCGTAATTACATAGTTATGATTTACTTATACTGTATCGGCATAGT